AATGACCATACATGTTTTTCCAAATGTGTCCAGAGTTAACTTTTTGAAAAGTGAGAGTGGAAATTGGGGGAATCGGGGGCAGGGTTATAAAGATACATATCACATTACACTGCCGGTATAGACACTGTTCATGCTGCCGTAACTGTGTTGTTCTAGTCAAGTTGACATACATCTATTGAACCTTACATTTTTGTACTTTTACATGTACCGGCACTTGGTGGTCAGTGTTCTAGCTATAGGACCATTTTAGTGCCAGGTAGATTTTTGGATTGCGAAGTGAGCAGAGCTCTCGCCACTCATAGCCAGACTGGATTTGCACCCTCTGTTGATCGATACCCTTTTCAGCTGATCTTGAGCCAAGACTAGGAATGCTTGCATGCTGCCTCGAGGAAGCTACATGTACATATCCTGTATTTTACATCTTGGTCTTGTAACAATGCTAATGACATATAGACACTCTCAGTGCTTTCTGATGCTTGAAATACAATCGACTGGGTACATTAGTTTCAATAATATTTTCGTTCATTTTTTTGAAAATCCGTGCTTGGTTTGAACCCGAGAGCCGGGTGGAAATTTGCAGTACCGGTTGGTGCCGCCCGGCACCGCCCACCATGTCTAGAACACTTTTTGTGGTCTGTTCTTTTGGTTGCTAAGGTTTGGCACTTGCAGTGTTGGTTTCTCATCACCAGAGAGTGGTACAAGATCACTTGGCTCTTCAGTCCTCTCCTGGTCAAGAAAGTGGGGACATTACACACTGTACCTACCATCCTTGGGGTATGCCAGCGGAGATCATCACAGAGTTTGTATGCTCAAGGAGGGGAAGGGGGTCCAAGTACTCTTGGGACTCTCTGAAAAACAAACTACAGGTACATGACCCTTTACAGGTGGCACTGTTGATGGAATGTTTCTTATCTTTTTCCTTCTTTAGTTGTCCTGGTGGGAACAGCGGCCAAGTCCCGTGCGATGCAGGGACATACAATAACAACCCAGGAGAAAGTGACACATCGGCTTGCAAGGTACACTAGTACATTGTATTTTCACAAAAGTTAAAAAAATCTTGTTGCTGACATCATTGACTTCTGCAAAAGCAAATCTGTCGATTGAAAACAAGATTCTAACGTGCAGCTGTTCATAACCTGATTATCCATGTTGAAAATGTACAGCGGCGTCAAGACCAATTGTGCATACACGTACATGTAAGCTGCTTGACACTCAAGTTTTGGTGGGAACTTGTTTTTTGCCGAGTGTATTTCCTTTATTTTGCACAGCTTTCGTCAAGCAAACCCATGTTAGCCCTGTGCATTTTATTCTGAACAATTTTGGCTTGTGGTGAAGTACAGTACATATATGTAGGGGGAAGGGGGAGCAAGGTCAGTTGTGAACTGTTCGGTGAAATTCATCCAGTGGCTATGCTCCTGTAGTGCAGGTTCACCTGGATGACATCAGTCCAGTACTTTTCCATACCCTCCTACTCATTCACATATTGACACTGGATGCATCTCTTGTTCCATTTATTCATGTCATTGCCATCCTGTACGGTACTGAATGCCAAGTGATGTGAAAAGGGCTGTTGGGCTGGTTACAAATGGTCAACTACATGTGTGTAGATACATGCAGGTTTGTAGTGCCAACATTTCTAAAGGGTGACAATGGTCAAACTTGGTGTATAGTCATTAAAACTTGCCCCATGTGCCGGTTCATCAAATAGTTAAAGTCACCAGTGATTTTCTGTGATTCTCTGGCAGATCTGCTATGCGGGAACCTACAGCCTCGGAGCAGCTGACCACTGCACTCTCTGCCCATCTGGGCGTGCCTGCTACGTTAATGGTACCATCTCGCCCACCTGGTGCGGCGAGGGCCAGTATGCGGTCAACGGTAGCACGGCCTGCCACCAGTGCCCTGTGGGCCACTACTGCCCCAACATCTTTGATGAGCCCATCCAATGCAACTTTGGGCAGTACTCCAACGGCGAGGGGCGGACGGTGTGCTCGGAGTGCGAAGCAGGCCACAAGTGCCCAGACAGGAACAGCTCGGTACCCTGCCCGGCCGGTGCCATGAGTAAGCTCGGGGATGGAGTTTGCACCAGCTGCCCTCTGGGATATATCAGGTATACATGCATCAGATTGTCTGCGATGTCCTTTTGCTATAGTACACCCCCAAAGCACTTCATACCCAGCTACTGATCAAATTTTGCCCTGACCTAATAATGGGGCAACTCAACAGAAGTGCTTTAGTCCTTGAAATCGAGCTGATGACTGCTCTACAAGTCCAAGTATCCCCTCTTGGCAGTGTTGCCCATCAGTTTGTGTGTAAGTTCCATCGGTAATGACCGTTGGTTGGCAAGTGGTCACTGGTCACTGAAACTGCGAGATGAGGAGCCACTTGTCCCCTACCCTGACCTTTTATGAGCTTACTGCTCAGTGGTCCAGTTCAGCATTTTTTTAGTAGTTTGAAAAGGCATAATAAAACTCTTAAAAGGGCAGCAAAGCTAAGTGTGAACTCTGAACCTTAACTTTCAGATTGTTAAACCTTGTTGGTGTCGAATTTGCAATCATAAAAAATTACACATTTACAAGTTCATTAAAAAATCGGTACTGTTGAATCTTTGATCCACTAAACATTATAAGGAACTTTATAAGGATTGGTTAAAGCTTAAACTTGGGATTAATAAAGGGTGCATGTACATGTACTTCATTTGTGGACTATTGACCCTTTGGCTTGTGTGGTTCGACTATTGAGCTTTAATTCAGACCAATGAATCTTACCCTTTGTCCACAAGTGTGTCTGGATGTAATTTACTCATGGCTGGCTGCAGCAGAATAGAAAAAAAGCAGTGCACTGCAAACTTCAAACTCCTGACTAGCAAGAACTAAAGGATATCTTTGTTATGAGTCTGTAGGGTAAAGCAGATTTTGATGTCTGAAATCTACTTGGGAACATGGCTTCGTTGTGAAGTTTGTTTTTATTAAATCCCTTTTTCCTCTTTCTGAGCAGCTCGGAAGGCTCAAGTTCCTGCACCATCTGCTCGGCCGGTTTCAAGTGCCCTGATCCGGCGGGCTCAGAGGTGGCCTGTGAGGAGGGTTACTTCTCGGCCGCCGGCGCGGACAATTGTACCCGCTGCGCCAACAACCAGATCAGCAACGTCGATCACACGGCCTGCGATCCTTGCCCGGCTGGAAAGAAATGCTCCAATCCGACCCTGGCACCGACGGACTGCAATGCAGGAGAGTACGCCTTGGAGGGGGATGGCATCTGCACGGCATGCCCAGCGGGCAGGCGGTGCCCAACAACATCGGCAGTTGAATACTGCCCTGCTGGTAAATGGGAACACAACTCCAAAAGGTTCTCCTGGAGCTTCTCCAGTTCATGGCACAAGGATGGAGGAAATATAAAATTGGATTAAAGACAGAGGGGACGCTTGCACCAAAATGGATATTTCTTTGTGAAACAGATAAACAGTGGTTTTTAAAAATTCAGGATGAATGGCCATGACTGAATAGTCGCCAGGTCCCTAACTTTTGCCACTTATTGTCAAGTCTGGTTGATTTTTCACTGTATGTGTAAGTGGCAAAGTAAGGAACCTAGTAACTGTGCATTCACAGTTAAGTCTAGGATCACTGCACCACAGAATGTCAGCATGTGTCTGCCTTGCACAAAATGACCCAAGTGCGCGGCTCAAAGCTGGATGGCTTTGTCTTGAACTGTTGATGAGTGACACCACCCAGAATTTCATGAAAGTAATTTCTGAAGCTGTGTATGTATCAGCTTACATGTATGCCATGGACTGGATGACAGGGAATGGTGGATACTCACTGTACATGTATGTACATGTACATATTAATTTAGATGTCCAAAACATCTGCACCTAACAGTGATGTACATTTGCCCCATAAGTACTAAGAGAACATCATGCGCCAAAAAACTGCCATATGATGAAGCTGGGGAGTAGGCATTTTTACCCTGGTTACCTCTGCTGTTGCTGTTTTGCTTTGCTAAAATGTTCCAAACGGGCCATATCCAGGGATACCTTTCTAGCATGTCTTTCAGAGAAGAACTCCTCTCCTTGGTTCCAAAACCCAGCG